GCACTAGCACCCACTCGATAACATTCCAACTTAATAAATACTAAGCCGTGATGAAGTTTATTGAAAGCTTGTAGCGTTGCTACTTTGGGCGAATGGCTCCGGTGCGTATGGGACAAGTGACAGTTCGATTAGGTTCCGTGGTGGTGGGGTCACCGCTTAGCGAAGGCACTCTTTGACTTTGGCCGAGGGTGAGAAGACGGGGGTTAGTAGGTCAAGGCGAGCTGAAATAGTTTTGAACAAAACGCCATAATAATTTCGGATAAATCCTGTTTGTTCATCTGGTTCCTGGTTATGTTCTGTCGGCCCCGAAAAAGGTGTTAAGTTAATATTGTTCTGGTCAATCGTGGATGCCATGTGGCACATTCCCAATGGAAGTTCTGTATAGAAGTTAACTTTGAACATTCATTTACGTCCTCACTCCCGTATTTTTGTGCATTGAGGATGCGATGCTTGTAGAACCCTTGTATAGGGTTTCAAGACTGGATCACGTTTTTGGTAACTCAACCTGCAAGTTCCGGCACACCTTACTGTCCATCGAACAGATCCCGTAAACCCTGTGACACTAGTACAGTTTGCCAAACGAGCACTTCACCTACCTACCAGGGACGGTTGAATGGAATGTAAATAGCAAAAACAAGCAGAGTAAATAGGACTTGAGCAAGGTCGTACAAACCTTTGTTTTAAATATCGATTGGCCCATATGTGAAACCTATCGCGATCTTTAACCTAAATTTCAACAATACATATTTACAAGCACAGTATTTAATGTACAGGGTAACTGATAAGTAACTTATCGCACATTAATTGGTAATACTTTCGTTTACAAGTTTTACGTAGCAGGAATCCCTTTATCACGTGGTTTACAGCTGTATTTTATTTATTTTGAGTCAATAACTCGGGAGTTAGTGTTGTAATTATCAGTAATCTTTCTAGACGAACTCTGTATGAAAGTTTTTTTCTTGCATTAGTAAAGTATCAACTTGTTATTTTAAAACTAAAACACACACCTTCATGTATCCATCTCAACATCGGAGTACAAACTAGAACTTATATCTAAATTCCATTGAAACTATTTAATTAAAATAACATCGGAAGGTTATCAGTTGTTTTTCTTTCTACGTAGTCCGTTACCTTATTTCTAACCACCTTATAACACTGTTTAGAAAAGAACCTTTTCCAAGTCGCAGGCTTCAATACCAACATAACTAGGTGAAGTGTTGGTGGCGCTCAAATCATTCTACAGGGAGCGTATCGAACGTGACTATAGTCGAACAACGACCCAAAAACTCTGAAAAAAGACTAGCCGTTGCCGTTTCTTTTCTTAAGCCCCGTTTAAGAAAAGCGAACGTTACGACCTTTCTGGTAATCGAGTAGTAATAAACAAGTATTTAGACCCACATCATATATTTGCGCTATCTATGATTTGATATCATCAAATTGTTTCTTAACAACTCTAAATATATCATTGGAGTTACCAAAAATATGGTGTTTTAAAACACATTCTATGAGTTGCTGAAAAATAAAAGGTAACGTAGAAAAGCTCATTAGTTTTTTAACCTTCCAAACTCACATTGCTAACTTCCGGTGTAGATGGAACGAGCGATTTTTCGTCCCCAATTGGAAACAGTACAACCGAGAAGATCGATAAAAACAAACCGATATGAACTTCGACAATCATTATTAAGTCATCAAGAGCAACGAGCCGGCAAGGGAATCGATTAAGTGACACAACATGTTGCAATTAGGGTCGGTTTCCTGAAAAATTTGTCAGACCACACGTTAACAAGCGAAGCCGCACGCAACGAGTTTTTGTCATAACCTAGCGAGCATTAATGATTAATTAAGCCAGTCACTATTTATTATAAAATTCGTTGAATGTTAAACTAACCGCAGAAAATGTATTCAAGCGTGAACAGCGACGAGCTAGGGATACCCGAATTTTCTTGTCTGGAGCCGGTAATTTAGCGCCACGCATTATACTATCTTTAACCCTTTCACAACGCATATTTGCTGGCCCCAACGTAAGGGCTAATGTCAGTATTATTAATGTGCGTTATTTACACTGCCGAAAACCGTATTTCGCGTGGTTTAATAATATCAGGGGAATTGTTTTCCATTAATGAATTCATGAACGGTTTAAACATCGCATGGGCTATATAGGGTGATCCGAAATTATTCCTAAACATTATTTTAAAAAACGGCGAGATTCTGTACCACCAGGTTAAATAAATAAATGGATGTTCATGCTTACGTCTAATCCATCCACGAAGATGAACGCAACTACAAAGCTAACATACAAACTCTAACAACTTCAAAAATAAACGGGGACACAAGATATCAAATACAGTAATTTCAAAATAGGAAAGTAACGCATACGCAACAACGATGTTTACACTGACATAATATAAGGCACGTGGAAAATTGTCCACTTCCAAAAGTATGGAAAATAGGAGAATAGATGTACACATACAAAATAGTGTCCAACAGGTGAATAAATAGACCACGTGGTATTTATTGTGCTGAATATAGTCCCTGGAAAACTATTTTCGTAAATACTCCTTTAGAAACTTCGAGATGCAATTTGTTCACTTTGAAATTTTGTAGGAAAGTTCTGTTTTGTAGCCTACACTTAAATGGTATATGTAAATTGTGAACGTTAGTCTTGAAATGAATTTTGAGATATAAATACAGGTGTTTTGCCAGTCAAAACAAAAAATAAGCTCTATATACGTATCTTGTGTAGTACATGCATGTTTAACCAACCAAAAGCATTGTACGTGGCAGGTCGTTTCTTGTCCGCTTCCTGCAGAATTCGCGATTTTCCGTAGAAATTTTATTTATACCTGACACTTCGTTATTTTAGGGGTTCAAAGTTTATAAGAACAAATTACTCGACGAAAATCAGAAATGGGGGAATGATTCTGACATTATAGCCCAATTAATATTCGTAAAACTTGTTTGAAAAAGCAGATAACCTAAGGTCGAAAGGATGGCTCGGTTGGTAAAGCGTTAGACCTGAAAACTCCACTTGCCGGCGGTTGTAGGTTCGATTCCCACCTGGTGCCTTGGGTATTTTAATCGTTAGAAATTTGTTTATAAGTTAATAACTTGGCTGTAAACTGGCCGAATTGCCTTATGAAACATTGACCAAATAAAGCGTAGTTTAAAAAAAAAACTGATGACGAAATCAAGACGAAGCATTGCATATGGCGGAGGTTTGTTTCAGCCCGAACGGTCGAACAAAATATTAATCAACATATTCATTAATCGAATTGTCATTGGATTTTTATTGATTGAAACTGTGATTTAAAATTGATTTGAGTGTATATGCTAACACACCCAGATGATGGAATAGTCCAGACAACCTCTTTGCGAAAGCGTCCTTTAGGAATTTTGAATTATATTTACTCATATTTGTAAGCTGGCCGAATGATCTTTTGCAGTCGTGCATTAGAAGTATAAGTTGTAGTGGTAACCAAAGGTCGACAACTTAATTATATTAGTATCTCCAAAAAAGTTGGAATCACAAAGGTTTAATTAAGTCAATTACTTTTAAAATAACACATTATTATAAAGCAATAATTAATAAGATAAACATGTTAATAGTTAACATTAACAATTACATGCAGCAAAAAAAATGTATCACTAACCTCATTACTAACTAATGAGAGTACCAAAGTAAAAACACGAAAAATAAAGGACAAAATGACGACTTGTATATCAATATACCTTCGTCATTTATCTCTGCATTTGTTGGTTACCGCCATAACGTAGCTCTTGGAAAGTGACAAATTGAATTCATTAGTGGTGAGAAAAGAACTCGCCAAATGTTGCAAATTTGTAATTCCGGAATCATCGCCGACATGAAAAATACACAATTCATTCCTTCGCTAAAAGCCTGATAGAGCTTAAAATCAAACATTTTCAAGCTGCCAACCAAACATTTTTGTTTTAAATCCCAATCGTTTCAGCGCTCTCTTCTGGAAACCTTTCACCTTAATCGTTAGTTCACCCATTTAAGGTAGGTGCGCTATAAAGCCGATTACTAACAAAACAAGGGAATTTAAACCCATTATGGCGGAATGAATTTTTTATTAAATATCCCCATGAGAGTCACGTATTTATTAAGCGACTATAATCGAGTACTAAAACATTGGTGATGATTGGTAACTTGTTGCGAATTGTTAAAATGCGGTTTAGTCATTTTGCACATTTTCAACGTTTATAAAATTTTCGCAACGCAGTCTAAAATAAATCACAATTATACAATACAATACAAGCACAAAATAAGCGGAAATCCTGTTAAAACATTAACGACGAATTTCACACAAGAGATACATACCAACCGTTTATCTGATTAATAAATTCATAATTCCTCTGTTCTATTCCGTGCTGTTTCCTTTACTTTTTGCATGCGGAACGTTTTGCACTCAAAACAAACTTCCAGCGCGTTATTTACAACAAGAGGAAACTGGAATATTAAAATATGCGAACGAACTCTTTAAAATTCGCGAAGAACTTTTCCGAATTCGACTAAAAGCCTCTCGAATTATACTAGACTCTGCTGAAATCGCGATTCTTCACCAGCGAACGTGACAATTCACGATCGAAATCTACGTTATTACATCAACTTTGTCCCGGGATTGCTTTAAAAATCGGCGACTTTACTCAATTATCCTACATAATTTAAGCGGCCGTCGCACTCATCTGTGCAACGGGAAGAATTAATTGTCTAATTTCGTTATTAATTGAACAACAGATTGTAAAGGTCGAAAATAATGAATTTCTGAGATTCGCGAGAATTAGCGCTTTTGGGTAATTATAATTACAATGGAACAGGAATATTATGTTTCTGTGGGCTTCCACACGACTCGGCGCTAACTTCTTGCTCCCCTTAAAGAGATAAGAAGAAGATACGTTTAGATGTATCTAACGGACGTATACTAACAACTACGCGTTCTTTACCAGTCACCAATAAACTAAAATAAAGTTTGTTTCAGTATATCGGCACCCAAGTATTTTGCTTCATCGCGTTCCTGGCCGGAGCAGCTGTCTTACTAGACAACAGTTCCCGAGATTCCCGACTTCAACCTCTTATACGTGAGAGTATCCGAAAACTGATCATGAACTCGCACTATGAAACAGCTAAGCAGCAACTTTCCATGATCCAAGAAGGGGTAAGTTTTTACTGAAACAATATCATCGAATCGATTTAAAAATAATTTCCCCGAGAATCTGGGCGTTTAACGGACACATCCGTTGATACGAACGGCATTTGCAGCGTGGAAACCTTATAACTTAGGGGGACAATGTCAACGTTTTGACAGGCCTCCTATACGAATCAGGTTCATTTAATGTTTCCCGGGGATTTTAGCCAAAGCAAACAAGCACTTTCCAAGATATCACCCTCCGTCAGAAAACTAAGCCGTCGATAAATATTGGTCCACGTCCGATATTATGACAGGGGACATAGAAACTCAATTTTTTAAAACTAGCTCTATACGAGGAAAACATTTTCCGATAGGCGTCGCGTCGTATCAAAACGACATTGCCTACCCACTGACGACATTTTGCATGGTTGCTCCTAAAAATTAAAAATTTGTTTTTGTTAAGTAATTTTTATTGGTAAACATATTAATGGAATTTTCACCTGTGCGCTGCTTTATGTAAAACGACGGAAAATAGAAGAAAAACTTAAGATTTTCATTTTCTCTGAATAAACAATATCCTTTCACGAAACTTTAGATACACTTGAAAGGCAAAAGAAAGTTGTAAACAAGGAGCCATTTATCCATCATCCAGATAAACCTCTGTTTATAACGTCTGAAGGCGGGAAAGAGCGAAACGGGAAAAAATCGTCGGTATAAATTAATTGCCAAAGTTTCCGAGAAGTTTCCGTCGAAATTCCGATAAAAGTGCGACACCAAAAGTTATCTTCTGTAAAATGCGGGCTCATTTTCGACAATCTAATCTTCACCAGAGTGTCGCAGTTTTTCTATTCGAATTTACATACATTTGTTTAGAATATTGCCAAAGTATAAAAAATAATTGAATTTAACTGACAGTAAATATTCCGATGATTCTTCGCATTGCGACGAGTCACGGTCGTTAGTGCCTTAAGTTTTTCCTTTTTTTGTTGCAGATTGGATGCTGCGGCGCCGACGGTGCAAACGATTACTTGTCATTACAGCAGCCTCTGCCGACGGAATGCAGAGACACCGTGACTGGAAATCCGTTTTTCCACGGTTGCGTCGATGAATTGACTTGGTTTTTCGAATCTAAATGTGCATGGATTGCCGGCCTCGCTATGACTATTTGTTTCGTTCACGTGAGTAGCTGCTGATTATTTCGCTGATAAAATTCGTACATTAATTTGATTTTATATGATTTCTTGATGACAACCGAAAGTAAATGAAACCAGTGATAAAATGCCTAAAAATCGACTGCCCACATAAATGAACGTTTAAATCTTTCCCCCTATCCTCCTTGCGACATAATGCATTTTACAATATGGAGAGAGAAAAATCGTCGCATATATCGCAATATTGCAATATGATAGCTTATTTTGCAGTTCCCACTGCTAAAGCTTTCGATATAAGGTATTATTAACAGTCTTTTATAATTGGAGCCTAAGGCGAAAGCAAAAGCACTCTGACCAACAACATCGAACAACTTATAGAAGTGTCTGACTTCGATTTGACATGATCGTTTATCTTCTTTACCTTCTAACGAAGCTTTTTTTGATTACCGCTCTAAAAAAATAAAAATAAAACTAAAATAATAAAATAAATTAAAAATTGAAGACAAAGTTACGACAGAAATTAAATGTAATTAGGTCTTTAGAGAAATTTTGTTTTTAAGATTTAAATTAAGGAATAGGATTGTAAAAAATGGGTTGTATTTGATTTTAGAATCGCTGCTTTATTCAATTTTTTCCAAAATATATACGCGCTTTCACTAAACTCGAGACCACTGCAGCGATAGTTCGTATGAAAGAAACTTTTTTCCTGTTTTTTGTTATTCTGTTAATCCGTTATTCTGCAACGAATTTGAAGTCGGTATAGCTCTGCAGCCGTCTTTCGCATGACAGCATAGCTAGAATCAAGCGCTAAAACTTGTCTTTAAGGCTTATGCATATACAACGTAACAAAAGAACAGTACAAAATGTATGGCATTTCAAGTCTTTGTCTAATGTACAGGGTGCGCGAAGTATATGGCATAATAAATGCCCAATGGTTAATATCAATTGTAAATGGTTAGCCTTTACTGAAATACCTTTATAGATAAGTCAATTTCGTTTAAACAGTGATATATGACACGTACAGGACTACAATTTTTGTTTTTACGGTTCCCGTGCGCGTGTGATGGTCCAATTTTGTTGCTTATTTATTGTACAACGCTTGATTTGACGTTGCAGTTAGTTTATTTATTCATTCGTTCATTTTGCAAAAGTTACATAGCGATCTAGTTTTGTCCATGTCCTCGATGAATCAAATGTTGTTTACCTGTATGGACATCGAGTGAAATGTGTCCCCTCTTTGGAGGCAACTATTAACGTCGCCCAACGCCCAACGTCGATCGGTTGCACAAAGGGTTTACGATATTTATTTCCGGCACGGTCCCTAACCAGCTACGACTTACCACTATTTATAACCATCGCAACTTCGAACGTTTTCAGATCCTTGAATAGGAAAATCAATGGCCTTTCCACATTTCGAAACTAACGGTTCGACATATGCATAAAGAGTTTCGCCGGCTCCCAAAAAGACTGTTTGGCTTTCAGCCTTCCATTATTTCTTTTCGAATCGGGCAGAGGCCCTTTATTGCTGTTTAGGTTTTATCCTTATGTATTTTTTCTCCGCTTTCCGTATTTTCGCGTCGATCGGCGGGAATTTACGCGACCTATTCAAATCAATAGCGGACCCTTTTTTTCGGATACTTTATTTGCTACGTTTTCTACAAGTATTTATTGCTCGGATTGAAAGATGTCATTCGGATTGCCAGTCCCCCGTCGAAATCCTATTTTGAATTGGTCGTAAACCGGTTTAAAATTTTGTATTCTTTTTATATTTACGATAACTTTTTTATTGATAAAATGTGATAACAATTTTTATTTTCCAGTTAATTTTAGTCTCTTAGTAATCTCGAGATAACGCTTATTCTCAGATTTAAATTTACTCTGTATTGAGTTGTAAGCATCTCTTTAAAATGCTTTCAAAAAGGCTAAAATTTTTTTAGAATTTTGTGAATACTTTTTCTTTAATGGCCATTTTATTCAAATGGTCATACTGCGGATGACGGCTGTATGGGCATTCTGTTGTTTTGTTGTACTGTTCTGTTGTTACTACGAATGTCTACTCTGCTTCAATCTCCATCGTGGTGACTTTTGCCCGCAATTATGGAAGTTACCTGCCGACGGCAGTAAAACCCAAGTCCGGTAGGTATTAAAGGACAGAACATTAAGGACAGCGACACCAAGGTTTTGGTAATGATATATATTTTTTTGTTTATTTAGATGGGTATAATGTCATTAAATTACGCTCAGAAAAAACAATTACATTAAATATATACAATAAATTCATAGCTAGGAATATCTATACATAATTAAGTTTTTGTTCTAAACGTCTAAATCTAATTCTATTTCACTGCCAGAGTCGTCATTTAGTCCTCAATTTTTATAATGTTCTGTGCTGAATTTTTCCAGCTCTCAATTGGTATGTTATTAATTACATTTTTATCAACTTAAAGTAGGAGTAACATTTTCTGTTCTGGCCTTTGATTCTACTTGGTTCCACATATACTCTCCACATGCAACGATATGGAGGAAGTTCAGCCAAGTTATCGCATATATACTGGTTTTTTTTTCAATTGCTTATATGAATAACTGAATTCAAAATAAATAACGTTTTCTAACAAATATTCTTGGACTTCAGTTTTTGAACTTGATGAGGCTGGTGCTTTGCGTGGCAGACGGCTATGGTAGCTTGCGTTACCCACGACGATAACACTGTTATTGGGAATATTTTTGAAAAGATTGCCTTGAAACCGACTTTCGAAAAGTTCGGCACTTCTATTATGATAGTTCAGGCTAGAATCCTTAATATTCTTTACAGACAACAGCAAGCAGTTTGGGCCAAATCCGTCTTATGACCCAGCTGGTACTACTGTGATGCGTTTTCCTTTATTTAAAGGTGTTGTCTTACATTTTTGAGTGGAATCAACCCGTCTTAAAGTAGGAGTAATATTTTCTGTTCGGGCCTTTGATTCTACTTGGTTCCACATATACTCTCCACATGCAACGATATGGAGGAAGTTCAGCCAAGTTATCGCATACATACTGTTTTTTTTTTCAATTGCTTGTATGAATAACTGAATTCAAAATAAATAACGTTTTCTAACAAATATTCTTGGACTTCAGTTTTTGAACTTGATGAGGCTGGTGCTTTGCGTAGCAGACGGCTATGGTAGATTGGGTTACCCACGACGATAACACTGTTATTGGGAATATTTTTGAAAAGATTGCCTTGAAACCGACTTTCGAAAAGTTCGGCACTTCTATTATGATAGTTCAGGCTAGAATCCTTAATATTCTTTGCAGACTTTGGGCCAAATCCATCTTCTGACCCAGCTGGTACTACTGTGATGCGTTTTCCTTTATTTGAAGGTGTTTTCGTCTGACACTTTTGAGTGGAATCAACCCGTCTTTTAGATACAGTGTCCTGTGTATCGAACCCGGGATTTATCAACGTAAATTATGGATCTGTCGTCTTATCTATATCATTTAATTTCTTGAAGGTCATGAAATCTTCAAGTGCGTAATCTGTGTGATTCCATTATTACTTTCGACTATTTTCCTTTTTGTTAAATTTTCTCTATCTCCAAGGTAGAAAGATAGAAATATACCTGGACCACCCCTGCTTTGTCTAATAACAACACGATGAAGATTGAGACAGACTCTACCAGACTAGATGATACCTATGGATATAATATATAAGATATAAGATATAATTTTATTATTAATTTCATTAAGTGATTTCTTATGACTGTTATTCTATTATGCTGCCAACTGGGTTGTTGATTGACTCAGCCTTGTAGGAGTTTGGAAACCATCTGACATAGGAAGCAGTACTTTCGAAGCTGCTAAAACAAAGTAAAATTAGTCTGCGTTAGCGAATGGCGATCAAATATTAAGATTCGTTACTGAAAGGCGCATATACTTGCAACAAAGTTTCTCCTTCCGGCAGGCAACTATTATTTATACAAAACAAAAAAGGACTGCAAAGTGGCAAGACGGTGAAGAATAAGTTTGCCCCAACTTAATAAGTTTCGGGGTACATTCGGAAAAGTTAAATTGTTCCGCGCAACTTCCGGAGTTTCCAAATTGGTTAATATTTCGAGGTAGCTAATTGAATTTACCGCCGGACTTATTAATAAGTCGGGAAATTTTAAACTGCGACTTTATTGGTCACTACGTCAAACAAGATTACGATCTCCATTTTCCGCGCTGGTCCGGTCGTATCTTGTTAAAATACGACCGATTAAATTTGATAACGCCACAACTCCCCCCACCCCACAGCCATCTGCATAAATCGACCTTATATCTTTTCGGTTAATGCGCACTTTTGCATGTTTTCAGTGCACCGCAGGGGTAATTCATTATAGTTGTATACATATATGCATGTACGTTTCGTGATCGCGGACTTTTTGCTAGATTTAAATGCGTTTGTTTGTTTAAACCTCGCTTTTTAACTTTTCTAGTTTTTTTAACTACGTTGGTTAATATTTTATTTTCAACTGTGCACGCAATACGTTTTTTTTTGTGAGTTGCCCTCCTTGGAAATATCCTACAGTTCGTAAAATGAGCGAGTACATAAAAAGGAACTACTTTAATCCCCTTAATATGGTAATATATATTGTTGGTCATTCTATATAGAAATAACTGAACATAAAGTGCTTTGCTTTCAAACCAACACTCGCGCTTGAAAAGAATGGTGCCACCTTAGGTAGGAATATCTTTATATGACAACTATGATGAACTTGTCTCTATCCCATTGTGATTATGGCTTATTGGCTTGGGGCCATTCTCTATATGCAGGAAAGGGGTAAGGTATTATATTTGGTACAAATATTTAATGAGAATTTAAAATGAAACACGCTTCCGGAACGTTGTATAGGTTGCTTATTACAATCGAAATTGTTAGATAACGCTTCATACCTTCAAATTTTCCAAAAAAAAAAACATTTTCACAAGACCACATCAATTGTGACACTTTTCAAACATATGCTAACTTAAACAATATTAAAATAAAACATTTTGTCTATTGTACAACTAATTGTCATTTTTTAGTTTATCCTTAATTTTAAAAAATTAAAACATTTTGAAATTTTGCTCTCTAAAGACAGCCGTAACCCAGCCTGATTGCATTTTGTCAGAGTGTTCTTATTGATAGCCATATCGCATGTCTCTCCCACTTAACTATATGACCAATATAGTTGGAGGTTAATGTAAGGGGGCAAAATTTACGGAAATATAATCACACGGCAGACCAAGTGTTGGAACTTTCGACTTGTGTAGACACAAAGCGGCGAATTAACTTCGCTTTTGGCAAACTTTTAAAACCCTCTAATTATGTTTTAAAGTTCACTTAATAAGAATAATTTTCCGCCATTTGGATGAGTTATTAGATGTGGTCGTTTGAAGTTCGCCGAGTTTCATCGACAGTGCGCTATACAGCCGCGTAAAATGTAAAATATTTTACTCCGTTGAACTCGGCAGATGAATAAACCCATTAAAAATTTTAAATAGTAATATTAGATTGATACATAAACATAATTTTTGCAAATATTTTTTAAATGTGTGTTAGTTTTGATTGAGACTTGGAACACATATAGTGGAGCACCTTAAGGCATAAAAATGGTAAAATCTCGGAACCCAGGGCCAGTCAATAAATCTGTATAACAAGCGTTATTATTATTAAAACCTCAAATAAAAATGTTAAAAAAAAATTGGCCGATCTCGATTACAACAATTTTTATAAACAATTTACTGAAAAATGAAAGGCGCAAGGGGGAAAAATGTTTACAGTAAAGATCTTAAGTATATATGTAATAAATTATGTTTGCAAAAAAATGATTTACAAAAGAAAATTTAAACTTAACTATATCGATTATTGTTCATTATTGTCGTCGTCGTTGTCGATTTCGTTGATGTAGATTGTAGGTAAAGGATTAGTACAGTTATCACCATTGCATTCTAAGCAAGCTGCAGTGCAGTTTAATCCATTTTTCCTGCACCCCTGTTTTGCATGCGCAAAAAATAATTTCCCCCATTCTTCTGGTAATATTTCTTTTCGGAACCATGTGTGAACTTGTAAATATACTCTTTTGAAGTGTTTAAAAGCGACATCTGCAGTAGGTGGTATAGACGGCAGTTTAACGTAGGAGTTTTTGGCAGTTGCTTTCAAAAAAGAGTTATGCATTAATAACTTTGTTGCTTTCAAAATAGAGTTATATCTCAATCCATTAATAACTTTTATTTTTTGGGGGGCATTATATAAAGCAATACTGCATGTAACACCAGCTTTAAAAATTTCATCGATGTCTTTGCATTCATTTTTAAAAACTGTCGCAGCATTTTGCAAGCCGTTCGTTTTTCGAAATTTTTTGCAAACACGTTTTTGCCACGTTGAAAAAAAGCTTGTTTTTTAAAACATATGATTGTATTAGATCCAAATTTACTGGAGAATACAATATTATCCTCATAATGGTTCATTAACCTCATTTTTATCGTTTTATCATCAGGAATATGATCAATTGTCACAATACTTTTTAATTCTGCCAGTGAAAACTGGCAGTCATCATCTTCTTCAATATATTTGAAAATCTGCTCCGTCGCTGCATCTACTTGTATTGTGACTGGATGAATTTTTTTATCCCTCTGGGTCTGTTTTACGGTAGTTTTCAAACGCATATAACAATCCGCGTGATACTTAGCGTCCTGAGCTACTAGATCTAACACACCTACAATTCTTTTATGGATATTGCGACAATATTCGCTTTTCTCTTCGCTTATCAAATTTAAAATAGTTTGCTTGAACTCAGAAGTAGTTACGTAGTTGATTTTCTGTCTTACCGATTTGGACTTTCTTCTTTCCTTCATTTCAGCAGCTTTCAGTGTTGGTATTCCTCTAGTGACTTTTATAATATCTCTTAGCTTAGAGCTTAATTCAGACCTACATCCAATTTTGTCACAAATGAGGCAATCATTATTTATATTATCACTATTCGATGGTTCACCCATTTTGATACGAGGCTATAACAACAAATATTACTAATAACAATAACTGAAAAAATCGGAATTTTCACTACTTTTCCGATTAATGAAATTATTATTTCTGCATAAATAAAATACATAAAAATAATTCAACTGTTTGTGTAAGCACTATCTTATAGGAAATTTCATGCAGATTCCAAATATATATTAAATAAATATTCACAGTTGTTTTTAAAACCACGTAATATAAATAATAAACAAATACTTACTATTTATGCCACTATTTTCAAAGTTTGTAAAACTCAGTAATTAACTTTGATCACACTCACTGTACAAACACATATTTATTTTTTAATTATTTTATTTTATTTTTTTTTTTTCGGAGCAAACAACAACTACGTATCAAGCCTAGCAAGTTGCCACGTGTACTATTCTGGTATACCTGCAGTCCCTTGAGACCCATGAAGTTTGTAATAGTTCTTCTTTTTAAAATCTAATTTTACACTAATATAACTTAAGGAAAACTCCAAAAAAATAATAATTATTAAAAAATTAGGATCACACAAAATATTTTTTTTAACATTTTTCTATATGCTATTAAAAACACATTGCCAAAGTTTATAAAAAGATTTATTGACTGGCCCTGGATTCCGAGGTATAAACCTTACGGCGCTCCACCAATATTAAACTTAAAAAAAACTCGGCCATATCCTATAAATGGATGGCTGATGGACATAAAATATCAGTGACTGCAAAAATCTACTTAGGAGCTTTCACGTCGGGTTAGCATTATTAACATCGCAGACATGCGAGATAATGCTGCTTTCGGAAAGAGGAAATTTAAATAAATTATAAAGAACCGTACCCGTATCGTATTCCTTTCCGTAAGAGAATTATCTTTTAGCCGTAACTTTGTTATTCCTCGAAGGAGACGTAACCGAATTATATTTGCACCTTTGTTTAGTATAAAATCTGCCAGAAGAACTCGTGCCGAATTAACTATGTATTTAACATCTGCGTCTTTCCCGTCGGAAATTTTTTCGCCTTTACTTTGTTTTGAGATTATCAGGACGTAGAAAATTCACTCAAGTGCCACTTACGCACATAATTTTTTCGAAAACACTTTTTTTGCAGTACATCCATGACCTATATCAAAAAGTTGCTGGATATAGTGGGTCACGAATGCGTATTAACTACTTATCTAGACCTCAGTAACACGAAATATGTGACTAAAATTACTTTTTTTAAATGTCTGTAATTTGCGTAGATTGCTTGGCAAAAAGTTAATTTCTATTCACTGCCATTGAAATTTTCTCCTGATTTTTACTAATTTCGCCTTCTTTTTCCAGGTTGTCAACGTAGTTCTGTCGACGGTGCTTATTCAAGCGCTTCGGAAAGAGGAAGAGCAAGCAGATACTTACCGAAAATAAAGTATTCAACCAGTGTAGTTTTACGAGAACAAAGTAATATTTGCTAGCCATGCTTTGAAATTAATTTAATTGTCATGTTGTTTATTATGAATATTATATAAGTAGGCAACCGCCAGTTTATTGCAAATCTATTTTAAGGACTTCGTAGCTTGCCACGCTACTTTTAGTATGTACATGACATAAGGGTAGAAAACAAGCCTGAACTTTGTGCAAAATTAAATAGTAATTGCTGGTAATTTCAATACCTTAGCGTGGAATAAGTTATCCCATTTATACTTGATTTTTCTATGTTCTAAATAAATAACAAAGTTGTTTCCTCTTCGTGTTATTATTGATCTCGTTGATCTCAATCTCAGCGCCATTGGGACTAACCTTGTAACATAACATTTATTTAATTACTAAATACAATTTTCCACAACATTTACAAGCTTATTGGTATTGGTATTAAAGGGGGCGCCCTCGCGGGCGTCCAAGCACTTATGCTACCAGATGGGCCCGTTGTGCCCCCAGGCCGCTCTAGAGGGCGTCCAGAATGCCGCCCCTCCTGTAGAAGGTCAGCAACTCCTTTAGCCCAATACCGTGCACTGAGTCCGGATCGATCAGGGCCGTTCCGAAGACTCCCAATCTTGCCCGTGTCAAGGCAGGGCACTCGGTGAGCAGATGATACGGGGTCTCCTCCCCTTCCATGCACCACCTACACTCCGGGTCGTCTCCAATGCCTAGCAAGCAAAGATGCCTCCTAAGCCTGCAATGTCCTGTGTAGACCCCTGTTAGTTACAAGCTTATATCTCTGATATATAGGCCAAAAAGGCAAAACAATAATTATGTCTTTTAAATATTCAAAATTCAGTATGCGTATTTTCCAGCAATAAATAAACGTTTTGTTTTCGAGATACAGGGGTATCAAAATTTTTAGAAAAAAAAGTTTTTTTTTATTACTCGAATACGTGGAATAAATAATTTTAATATAATTACATGGAATAGAGTCCCTTGGGGCTCCAAATAAGCAGACCTAGTTTTATGAAAATCGTTTTTAAAGTTTCGGCGTAATCACTTTCTTCGTAAAGTTGAGGCATATGCAGGAGGACGAGCAAAAGAAGTTTCACTCTTGATCGCCTGATCCAAAAAAAAAACAAATCTTGCCAAGTAATTAATAAAAAACGACTTTTTTCTCCAAATTTTGACGCTGCACCTTGGAAACGGAGCAAGTTGAAACGCATGTTTATATGAAAAAGTGACTTAATCTTGGATGACAAATATGCCCTAAAAATCTTTATATTGAATTCTGAAACACCCAATAGAGTGATTCTTAACGATTTTCGTATGACAAGTTCAAGTTAAAACCCCAAAATAGTAGTAGCATGAAGTCATTCGGCTAGCACCAAAGTGGAGACTACAACGACTAGTCTAACGGTCGCCTAGAATAGGAAAAACGGAAAAGCCATTTGCGCTCTTCCTAAATCTACGCCCCGTCGCCTGGCAAAAATACGGTAATTTAGACTTTCCAGAATCATCTCGAAAGAAAATCTGACAGTAATTCCTTCTTTCATAAGAACGAAAACGTCTTATCTCTTTGCCTTTTCAAGGATCTCTTTTCGATGTATCTGCCGGAGATTTACTTTCTTAACGTCTCAAAATATCATAGGAACCCGCGTCTCACATTGTTCGTCGGAGGAACTCTTTTTTTCTAACGGTAAACCGTCTCGTAATATCCCAGCAATCGCATCGTCCGCAATCGAAAACGTATTAAGCGCCCTCTTTACCAATAAAAAAATCATTACAAAGTTCACGCGGTGCGTCACATTGACGAAATGACCACCAATTTGGAGTCGCATAAATCAAACGTCAAGCAGAGGAAGCTGCGTCACCAGGAATCGCATAAATATCGGCCAACGACGCGACTATATCGACCCGTTGTTTATACAGGTCGACCCGCATTTGGGAACAACCGAAAAGATGGGGCAAACATTGCCACAGGGTTTCCTTTATTACTGTTAGGTGTATCAGCTTACCGGGTCCAGTCTTTCTGCATCGAGTACATGTAACGTGCAACTGGTTCCTATCGAATGCAATTTAATCCGCTTTTTCAAGGGAAGTGAATTGTTGCGTTTAAAGAAAAGCCCGACATTGACATTTGTCAAAAAACTAATATTATATTTTAGAAAACAACATCTCAAATTGTTGGACCGGACAACAAACTCAAAAATAGTCCACATTCCATCCATTGACGAACATAAAAGAACGAATAAATATAAAAGTTGGGATTCTAACTACTTAAATTCAGAAATGCACAAGTTGGACGACAATTTTTCATAATGAACCAAAAAGCAAAGAACTAAATTTGTTGGGAGCTACGGAGTTTGAGCGCAGCAGTTACACTAGGTTTTCCTTCTATATCTTCCACGATATCTTCCACGACGTATTTAATAAAATGTAGTTTTTATCGAATAATCTTCATGTTCGCCTACTCTCAAACTTTTGTGCTTACACTTCTCTTTTCTGAAAAATGTATTTCTACCCTATGCTACATATCACCTAACTCCATTAAAAGTTACATCATAAATAGGTTCCTATTTACCAACTTGTATTTTTGTCAAGTTACTTAGCTTAGGATATATTCATAGAGAATACATCTTTCTTTGCTCCCAAAAATATTTCGATTGGTTGAACCCTAATTAAAATAGTAGAATACATTCTGTCTGAATATCCTAATCTCTCGTAATCAGGGAAACTTCTCTGACTACGACTAAGCTTGATGTAAAGCCGCGTGCTCTGTCCATGAGGAAGCAGCCTGCTGAAGCCTAAGTGTTGTAGTGTCTTCCACTCATAGATGCAGGCAGTGAACGCCTATGGATTTTAAGGTTGGAATCAATTCCCAAGGTTTAAGTGTCTTATCTTTACTTTGGGATTTAAATGTTTCTTTTTTTCTAAAAATAATTACCAACTTTAATGTAATGTATTTTCACGTTTTTGTATTGTATTATTTATTAATTGCACAGAATATTAATTGAATGGTTTGTTTATTCATTTGGTTGAATTATGATGAGTTAATTCACTGACCAAACCGCAGTGTTTAAAAGAGTAAGTAAGTAAACTAGGGGATTTTATAGCAATGTAACTTGGGGGGGTCTGAGATATTTTCGTTTCTTACCCAAAATAGTGTTATTTGACAATATTTTGCTTAATATAAAACTTTTAGTGGTATATTATCCAACAGGTGTGGTAAACGGCATTTGACTGATGAGTTTATTTGACACGAGCGGAGCGCAGCGGAGCGAGTGTTTAATAAACGAGTGACGACCTTTGGTTTTTGGGTACATTTTCGCAAAACAACACGAATACATTCACTGACATGACGGTCAGAATTGACAAACGTCAAAATTCAAAGCGTGGGAAATATCTGCGAAAACGTGCGATTGCTCCCAAATCCGTGCGGTAAAATCCCGAATATGTCCGAAGTGGCTCGGGTTCATGGGAAAGGAAATTGACGTGGTAAAGTAACGCTTCCCGCACGCTAGATCGGTGGGTAATTAGGTATTTTACAGGCGGGAGTAGAAAAAGTATATTATCATGTTCTTGTGCATATTCTGACGCGTTGGTTGGTAATTTGCAAGAAATTAAAACGCCCCACCACTGGCTTATAGTCGTCTGATATAAATGGTAAAGTTTCGACCGTACCTAATGGTGTATCGCCGAGTAATTAACCACAACTTCTACGGGCTAGATCTGAGAGCAACTCGAAAACTTTTCAATTTCACGGCGGAGTACCAGGCCCCGGCGAATTTGAATTATAAGTAATTTATATTGTGAAGATGAACATCTAATTATATTAGACCGCGGGGTTCTAATTCGAGCATCGCTAATAGGATTTGGATATTAATTTTGCCGTCCCTAATTCTGCGCGATTTGCCCTCTCTGCCATGTATCAGATTAAGCAACAAGAGGGAGTGTTTTATGGGCACAAATCGTATCTACCTGCTATACCATTCGCCGCAATTTCGAGTACAATTTTGTCGGAAAATTTCTATTTCTCAGCAAAACAAGCTTCAGTACATCTGAATTTTGTGGAATCAGACTTGAATTGTTTATAATAATAGTAATCGAACAATATACCAATGTTTCCGGATGTAAACAATTTGTAAAAAATTGAAAAATAATATACTACGCAACAGGTGTGTGAAACGGCATTTGATTCGCAGCCACTAAACTAACCAAAAATGTTTCCGAAAAAGGTTGTACATCGACGAAAAGTGGACTTTATAAATATTCCATTCGCGATTTAATCGAAACGCCCAAGGTATTTGGCACCCACTTCCCAACTTCAAGGTGTTCTACTACTCCCAGGATGTCCAGATCAGGTTGGTGTCATCACACAGATATAGTAACCAAAAACTGCAGATTGTAACATATTGTTGACAGCATGTCATGCTCTAATTGGCTCCCACTTGCTTTATGGTTTAATAAATTGAGATAAGGCTACCGGTGCCTTTGGTCTACAACATCGGGTAATTAGAATAATCGCAAATCTTAAATACAGAAAGGATGTTAGATCGAAATTTTTGGAGCTTAAAATCCTTACACTGCCAAGCACTTATATACTTAAGTTTCTACTTTACGCTTATGAGAATAAAACAGATCTTTTACATGTGAACGAAGATCACCCACACGATAAGCAATGAACTTTTATTTCAATAACCACTCGTTGATTGGAGGAGCTTACCAAAATTTAAGTTCTTTTATTCATGTTTTTGGTTAGGATAAAGATGTTTCGAGATGCGGTTGCCAATATGTAAGAAAACGTCATCTAGTACTTAATCGGAATCATTCCACTCAAATCACGTGTTTGATAACCATTTCGGAGTCAGCGACATTTATTCACGGAAATGTTGGAGCACCCCCCAATATTTTCCTGTTAGAAATATAGTAAAAAAGCATCAAACAAAAAAGATTTCAATTTGTCCAAGCTTTGAAACACTCTCTAAAGTATCATTAATATAAGAAAATTTTTGAGAAAACGGATTTTAAAATTCAAGATGGCAACGACACCCTCCGGTAACCCTTTCAAAAACTCAGAAATTTATTTACTTTGTTCTTAATTTTTAAGAACATGCGTTGCCCTTAGTGTATTGAGAATTATTTCCTTGATTAATAATCACTGAGACAATCAAAGGAGAAATAAATGTTGACAAGTAACAATCGGCATTAATAGTATAAGTATAAGTTTTGTTTTAGTACCCCACAGCCAAAGGCAATCCTTAAATTGAAGCCTATTTGGTATAATTGCATTGTTTATTATTTTACACCTCAGTGATTCTG